TGGCCGGTGTTGAGGCTGCCCCAGTGGACAGATATACAGCCCCTTGTCACGAGGGCCTGCAGGTCATTCCTGTCATCCCAGGTGAGACTGCAGAGATCGCGGTACCACCCTGCAGGGACCACGTCTTACCACTCACAGAAGATGCTGTAAATATTCCTGAAAGCCCTGCAGGAGGGGATTGGCAGAGCTTCCCAGAGGAAGTGTACTCCCAGTTTGTGAATGAACTTGCCTGTTACCCACTGGGAGGATTTGTGAGTCAGCTGTTTTCTGAAGGACTGGCCGAGGGCTGCAGTGGGTACCAGGAGGGCTGTCCGTGGGCGCAGACAGGTGGGAGAAAAGCCCTCGAAGAGGAACAGGTACCTAATGAGTGTCTGCACAGGAGGCCACCAGACCTAGAAGTCGCCTTGTACTGGATGGAGACGCCCCCGTATCAGCTCCCGGTGGCTGAGGATGCTGTTATTTGGGGATGGCAAAATAGAGGTGGACAGTTAGTAAGTATGATTTATCAGTCTTTATTACTGTGCTGTGAAAGGCAGGTGTTTCCCTCTGATTGCTTTTAACTGCCATGAAGTTTTATTCTAAGTAATGGGCAGTCATTTGAATGTTTACGTGAGGCTGTGAGTCACAGCATTAGCTTAACGATCTCCAAGCTGGAGACCGTGACTCCGTTTGCTGTTTGGTATGTTTAGGCCAGAGTTGGTGTGCCAGCTCTGGTTAGCACTGTACCCAGCACTGCCAGCCCTCAGACGCAGCTTGGTGCAGGCCTCTTCTGTGTGCGCTTTCTGTGTGCGCTCTCGAGGGCTGCCCTGCCCGGACTGTGTCCTTCCTCATGACCCCCTTGTTGGAACAAAACAGGCATTTGTCCATTGAATTTTAAAGTCACTTCTCAAAAGTCCACACGTGGACAGTATAGATAGAAAACTCAGAATCTGTGCTTTCTGCTACAAGTTTGCTGCTTTTACCTGGCTCTGAAGTCTGCCTCCTGGCAGTCCAAGCACCTGCAGAGCTTTCCAACCATGTGCTCCGGCCCTGCTCATTTGGAAGAAGCTTCACAGATGCTGCTGCAGTGGGCAGCTAATTTGAGCATCTTTCTAGCTAGTCTGTGATAAACACCAACACTCAACAAACATGAAGTTAGTCTTGCACTGAAAGTAGTCCTTTTCAATGTATAATTGAAAGGCATACTTCTAACAGCAGAATCTCATTGACTCAACCAGTAGTTTATGTATTTATAAATTTAGTTCATTTAAACTAGAAGCAAAAAAACGGTTCACCCATTTTCCCAGCTCTTGCTCCCACCTCTGGCAACTACTGATTTTGTCTATGAGCTTGGTTTATTTGTTTTTAGAATCCACATAGAAGTGAGATCATAGGGTATTTGTCTGATTTATTTCACTTGCAAAATACCCTCTAGTTCCCTCTGCATCATTGCAAATGGCAAGATTTCATTCTTTTTTATGGCTAAGTAATATTCCATTGTACATATATATACCACATCTTCTTTATTCATCTTTCAGTGGACACTTAGGTTGTTTCCCTATCTTGGCTATTATAAATGTAAATAATGCATTGAACATGGGGTACAGACACTTTTTTCAAATTAGTATTTTTGTTTTCTTTCGGTAAATATCCAGAAGTGGGATTGCTGGATCATAGGAGTTTTCTATTTTCAGTTTTTTGAGGAACCCCCATACTCTTTGCCAGAGTGGCTGTACCAGTTTGCATTCCCACCAACAGTATAAGAGAGTGCCCCTTTCTCCATGTCCTCGCCAACATTTGTTATTTCTTTTTTTTTTTGATAATTTTTTAATTTTTAAAAATTTTATTTGAGAGGAGAGAGAGCATGTGCGTGTGTGCTCATACTCATGAGAAGAGAGGGGTGTGCCTCACAGGCAGAGGGAGAGGGAGAAGCAGACTCCCCGCTGAGCAGGGGAGTCCAGTACGGGCTCAGTCCCAGGACCCTGGGATCATGACCCGAGCCAAAGTCAGACGCTTCACTGACAGAGCCACTCAGGAGCCCTGATGATAGTTTATTATTAGTGATTTTTGTAGACAAGAAAAACGACTGATGGTAGTAAGGAGATAGATGTGGTTCAAATGTTAGTCCCAATTACATGAACAGAAGTGTAAATGTAACCCTGTAACTTAGGGAAATGTACATTTAACCTTCTTTCTGTTCCCACAGTTGGGATTTTTGCTAAAAAGAGTTACATTGAAGTTAATAGCTTTTGTTTCTTAAGTAGTGGTGGAGGCAAAAACTTAGAAAATTAGGCCTTGAAGTACATAAGCAGGTGTGATTACCAATTATGAAATAAAAAGTTTGAAAGTTTCCTTCCCCCACCGTCTCACTTACTTTATATTCCTCAGCTCCCTTGTCCCCTTCTCTGATACTAGCTCCTCTGATTGCTACTCAGTAACCTGTCAGTGGACCATTCTTTCTCTTGTCCAGAAAACACAGATTTATGAATTGTTAGGTTGTTGGTTTTTTCTTTTTTCTTTTTTTTAATGGAGCCTGGTGTTTGGGTGCAGAGTTTCTTCAGAACATCAGGATTTATGGATGCTGTACTTTGAAAGAGTGGTGTGGGTCATTTATATAAAATCGCTTCAGGATGCAGCTATTGAGGTCAGCTCACTTTTGGTTTTAATAACCACTGCTCAGCCATGACTTTTCAGTGGAAAAATAAAACAGGTAGCCAAGCAGGTGAAACTTGAGATGTTGATGGCTGCTTAGAGTTCCACATGACTGCAGGACAAGACCCACACCTTAAAGACATACAAGGAAGACAAGTTATTTTTCATGTGAATTAAATGGAGGTCATGAACTCTTGGTAATGTTTTGTCTTTGCTGATGTTAGTTTTCTAATTACTCTCTTGGTGGGCACATTACTTAACCTCTCTCTGCCTCAGTATTCTTATTTGTGAAAGCCTCATAGGGTTGTTGTGATTAAGCTCAGGAAAGTCCATGGAATGTGCCTGGCACCTAGCAGACTCGACATAGTTGTCATGCCAGCAGCTCCTAATTATATGTCTCCATTCTTTCATGCCTTGTCACTCAAGAGTCTCACTTCAATACTGGTTAGCTGCTTGAAATTGTGTTAGATCCCAAATACTTGATTTGGATTTGAATATTTACTGCTTAAGTAGTAAATTACCTAAGGATAGATTTCTATTCAGTTGTGGCATGTGAGATACACACTTGAATACTGCTTAACTGCCTAAAATCATGTTACGTATTGGGAATGCTCCAGCACAGTTAGCTGCAGAAGGTGCTGACAGTGGCAAGGACCCCTTCGTGGGTGGTAGGAACTTAGAGGATGTGTGGTGTGTACTGGAGGTCAGGGCCAGCTTAGTGGGTTGAATACAGTAACGTGGGAAAGCTTCATGTGTGTTGTGTGGTGGAGAGTCCAGCCAGTAAAAGGTCTTTCTATCAGCATTGGACCAGGAAAGAGAGAGGGGCATGAGGTAAACAAAACAAAGAACAACAACAAAACACAGGTGGAAAACGGAGTAAATGATGAAGGAGGGTGATGATGTCTGTGAAATACGGAGTGTATCCTGCATTGTGCTCTTTGCTCATGAGAGCAGGGGTTGTGTCTGCTTTGTTCACCGTTCTGTCCTCACACTGCACTGAAAACAAACTGGAAGTTTAGATGTCCCATCAGAAGGGAGACTGAAGAATCTGTGCTTCCGGAGTGTGATACACTCGAAGAAGGGAAAGCCTGTTGGGCTCTCTCACCTCCTCGGGCTGCAAAATGCATGTTGTCGTGTAACCACATTGGCCTGTCCTGTCATGGTCGGAGATAGTCTTGTTTCTCACTGAAAGCTTTAATCACCACAGCCAGAATGAATTTATTCTGTCATCTAAAGATTGTTAATCTACACATTTCCTCGAGGGCTCATCATGGTAGTATTGGGTCGCATCTGCCCTTGGGGGTCATGCTGGGGTGCTGGGAGGCTACTTCCAGTTCAGGGCTCCTGCCTGGTGCTCCCTGGGGGCCCCTGGGACTGGGACCCTCATCCCCCTCCCAGGAAGCTCTGATCCCTGCGTAGTGGTATCAAGGCTTGTATTACCTGGGTATTATTTGGCTAGGTTTGCTGACAGAACTGACAATGAACTGGAGTTTGGGGAGTAACTCCCCCAGATACATTGATTTTTCTTTATTTTTATTTTTTAAAGATTTTATTTATTTATTCATGAGAGACAGAAAGAGAGAGAGAGAGGCAGAGACACACGCAGAGGGAGAAGCAGGCTCCATGCAGGGAGCCCAACGCGGGACTCGATCCTGGGTCTCCAGGATCACGCCCTGGGCTGAAGGCGGAGCTAAACTGCTGAGCCATCCGGGCTGCCCTTGATTTTTCTTTAGATTTGGGTTCGCTTGAGATATGTGAGCAAGAGAAGAAAACTCAGGGGGTTGTTAGGTACACCAGGAAATGAAGGTGTGAGCATATGAACACTGTCCCAGTATTGCCCCAGCAGCCGGACAGAAAGGAGGCCAGTGTCCCTGGAAATGAGCAGGCTCACAGTGGAGGCAGCACGGAGCACCCGTCTTGCAGACCCATTAGAAGATCTCTGTTCTTCCAAGCGGTTTGCATGTTCTGTATCCTTCATAATATGAGTATTTGAGCTTTGTTTAAGAACGTATTCATCTGCGTTCTGTTCAGGTTTGTAAATCTGAATTGTGTCTAGAATAGAGATGACAGTTGGATCCCCAGTTGTTTACTGAATGTCTGTGAAGGCAGGGGCCTCATCCTTTCATTTGCAACTTCTGGAGAGCCTTTCACTCAGTAGGAACTGAGGAGGCTGATGGTGAGTGAAGCCGAGCTTGGTGTCTCGACTTTTTTGTTACTTTGCACCACGTTTCATCCCCAGTGTACACATAAGACAGACTCTGCCGTTCTGACCTTTTTCTTGCACAGATGCATTTCACGTATGAATTAATAAGTAAAATTGTGTTTGACTGGAATTCAGAGACAAATGTTTGTGTCCCATTTTCCCCTAGGTACCGACTGCCAAGGTTTCAGAGCTAAACCCTAATGCTAAGGTGTGGGGGACCCCTGTGCTGCATCTGGATGCGGGTAGTGCAGCAGATGGCGGTGTGAGTGCGGACTGGGAGGAGTCTTCAGGCCCTTGCACAGACTGCGGCCAGGAGGGTGAGTTATGAGCATGAGTATGATGAGGAGCACCTTTGCTCTCAAGGCTTTGTCTTTGTTCTCATTTAATCCCTCTGTAAGAAATTGCTAATTGGGTCACCTTGCTGGTTCAGTTGGTAGAACATGCCATTGGTAGAACATGCCACTCTGATCTCGGGGTTATGAGTTGAAAATAAGTTTTTAAAAAATTGAAAACAAGAAAATTAAAATTTGTGTCGTGTGATTTGTTACAGTAAGAGCCGGAGGATCTTTCACAATCAAGTTAAAAAATTGAAGTAACTGCAACTGTAAGGTTTTTTGTTTTAAGAGAAAGTTATTCTAATCATAAAATTTGGGGTAAAATTCCTAATTACAGGATTGGATGCCAATGGCGATGGTGATAAAAGTCATGACAATGTGGCACTATCGGATTTGCAGGAGTCAGACCAAACTGCTGTGAGCACTTTGGCTCTGGATCGCTCAGAACATGAATCTCCGCCTGAAAATAGTGAAACTGGTAAAGATATTTTATGAATTCATTTTTATGTAGAGTTTGAGCTTTTTCATGTTCCTTTTTAAAAATTTAGCCTCTTAAGTCTTTCTCTAAACATTGTGCCTTTCATTGCTTCCTTTGATTCTACTTTAAATTCCCTCTTAAGTGGATACAGAGATGAAGAGTTCTAGTCAGGAAGGGGCCACAGGGTGTATAAGATCTGAGCAGTTCCTGAAAGGCGGGTCTGGTTTAATTAGGAGAAGCAGAAGATGGACTATAGGGTGAGGTGTCAGTAAAAGGTCAGAGAGGAAACATTTGTGTTGAAATCGAGAGTCAGACTCCAAGGAGGTTGGTTCTTTTATGGAGTATTTAAGGCTGTTTCAGAAGAAAAGAGCAGGGGGAAGAGAGCCGTTCTCCTTGGGACCAGGATGTGGGCCAGTGGAGAAATACCGAGAGTGATGGGACATGATGGCTCCCCTCTGATTTTGGATCCAATGTTATATAAGAGACCAGCCACATTTTAAAGTCCAAGCAGACTGGGGTAGGCTGCACTCTGATCATTCACAGTGGGATGGGGCAGCTTGAGTGGGAGAAATCCTCCCCTACACTGGCTAATAGGAATCGAGCAGACCAGACGCCTGTTGAGCATGTTGATCTCTCAGGTGACTGTCTAGAGCTACACTTGTGTTGGAGAAGGCCCACCTTCCACTTGCATTGCTGCTGTCGTTTACCGGGAGCTGGTGTGGTAACACCCGATCTTGCACCGGTCTGGTCCTGCACGCCAGACTTCCACACCACAGCGGCGTGTCAGTGTTCTTTTTCCCCTGAAAAGATCAGCCCTGTGAAGATCTTGCCTGTGCTGTGATCTGCCTCCCGCGCCCCGCCCCCCCCCCCCCGGCCTCTGCCTGTGTCACCCAGAGCATCTTCCCAGTAGTACCTTCTTTCCATCAAGTTCTCTGCCTCCTGCGTGCCTGTTCCTGAACGGATCCACTGTGGCTGGGTTCGGGATCACAGACTTCCCGCTGGGCCTCGCTCGGCATAGCCCCACAGTGCTGCTACAGAGCTCAGTGCAGAGAGCTCCCGAACTGCTGTTTCGCTCCTTCTGTTTTCTCCTCAGACCCTAGCACGCTCCTCTGCTTAATTTTTGGGGGATATAGAGCAGTAATGAAGTATAATTGATGTACAGTAAACACATATTTGATGTGCATCCCAGCTTTTCTGTAAGTTTTATTTTCCTTGGTTTGGAGCACAGTGTTGAGTCCGTTGTAGAGTTGCTGGTTTGCCACTCCTGCACTGATTCCTCTACCAAATTTGGTAAGATGTGTATATACCTGTAACACCATCGAGATCACGAACATATCTGTCACCACTAAAGGCTTCCTGTGCCCTCCCCCTGCCCCGGGCAACCACTGATAGGCTTTCTGTCACTCTGGGTTAGTTTGCATTTTCTAGAATTTTATATAAATAGATTTTTATGACATGTGCTCTTTTTGTCAGGCTTCTTTTACTTGGTTTACTAATTTTGAGATTCACTCACACAGGTTGTGTCTTTTTATTTCTGAGCAGTATTCCATCCCATCACATGGCACAGTTTGTTTTCCCATTCACTTGGTGATGAATATTTGGGTGTTTCTAGTTTAGAGCTATCACTAATAGAAGAACATTTATAAAGCAAGACTTTGTATAGATGCATGTTTTCATTTCTCTTGGGTAAATGCTTAAGAATGGAAGAGATGGATCATATGATAGGCTTAACCTCTGTCACAGTACCCTCTGTATGCTCATCTGCCGTGGATAGGAGCCCCTGCTGCTGCACATCCTCATCAGCACTTGTTAATTGTAGCCATTGGAAAGGTAGGTAGTTGAGTCTTACTATAGTTTTAATTTGTGTTTCCTGATGAGTAGTGGTGTCAAACATCTTATCATATGCATATACTATTTTGGTGAAAGGTCTGTTCCGGTCTTCTGCCCATTTTCGTATTGAGTTGTTTTATTACTGAGTTTTGGGAGATCTTTATATGTTTTGTATATATGTCCTTATCAGATTTATAATTGCAAATACATTCTCTCTCAGTCTGTGGCTTTTGTTGTTCTAACAGTATCTTTTGAGAAGTCAAAGTTTTTAATTTTGTACGTAGTCTAGTTTATCAGTTTTTTTGTTTCTTTTATGGATCCTGCTTTTGGTTTTGTACCTAAGAAATCTGTGCTTAATCCAGAGTCACAAAGATGTTCTCCCAGGGGTTCTGTAATTTTAAATTTTACATTTTTAAGGTCTGTGGCTCATTTTAAGTTCATTGTTGTATATAGTGTGAGGTACACAGCAATATTTTCCCCCCATGTATACGTATGCAACGGTGTAGCACCATTCGCTGGAAAGACTCCCCCTTTCCACTGAGCTGCCTTTGTGTTGTCATCAGGATCGTTTGTCCCTACACATGTCGGTTTATCTCTGGACTGTCTTTTCCATCCATCTGTTAAGTCTGTTTTCACAACAGTGCCACACTGTTTTGATTACTGTACATAATTCTTAAAAACAAGTGGTGTTAGCTTTCCAATTCTGTTCTTTTTCAGAATTATTTTGGCTATTCTAGTTCCTTTTCATTTCCGTACAAGTTAGAATGAGCTGCTTACTGTCTCCAAAATGCTGAGATTTTTATTGGGATTGCATTGAATCTATAGATCCATTGGAGAAAATGGACATTTTTCTCCACTTGGTTAGGTCTTTAATTTTTCCACTTGGTTAGGTCTTCTTTAATTCCTTGTGGCTATAGTTTTTGCTTTTAGCGTACTGGTCTTCCGCATCTTTTGTACTTAAATATTTATCCGTAAGTATTTTATATTCTTTTTTGGTGCTATGTTAAAGTGATTTTTAAAAAATTTAATTTGGGATTATAACAGTATATAGAAATGTAATTAATTTTGGTAAATTAATATTCTTTGGAAACATGTTAAGCTCACTAGTTGTAGGAACTTTTTTTTTAAAAAAAATTATTGATTCATTAGAGACACACAGAGAGAGGCAGACACAGGCAGAGGGAGAAGCAGGCTCCATGCAGGGAGACTGATGTGAGACTCAATCCCAGGACCCCGGGATCACGACCTGAGCCAAAGGCAGCCCCTCAACCACTGAATGACCCAGGCGTCTCAGTTATAGGAACTTTTTGTGGATTCCATCATCGTGTCTTCAACATAGTGTCATGTTACTTGTAAATACATTCAGCTTTATTTCCTATCCCTTCTGGTGTCCCTCCCTCCCTTCCTCCCTTCCTTCTGCCTCTTATTTCTTTGTCTTGCCTGATTGCCCTGGATTGAGCTTTCATTACAAAGGTGAACAGAGGGGTGCCTGGCTGGCTCAGTCTGTGGAGTGTGTGACTCCTCATACTGGGGTTGTGAGTTCGAGCCCCACAGTAAGCAAAATCTTGGAAAAAAAAGTTTTAAAACAAAGGTGGACAGATCATGAGTGGAAACATCTGACTGATGATAGGGGGAGAAACATTCCATTTTACCAGTAAGTGTAAAGTCAGTTTTGGTTTTATGCACATGACCTTTGTGAGGTTCATGAAGTACCTTCTGTTAGGATTTCCAAGAGTTTTTATGAGGAGTGGTTGTTTGAATTTGTCATACTTTTTTCTCCATCTGTGGCGATGAACCATACTTTTTTTCTTCTGGTGTGTTGGGATGATTTCTCATGTATTTAATCCACCTTATATTCTGAGATAAGCTTCACTGGGTTATGATGTAACATGCTTTTGATTAGTTGTTGGATTAGATTGGCCAGAATTTTGCATTAAAATTTTCATAGCTGTGTTCATGATGGATGTTGTTGGTCTGCAGTTTTCTGTTCAGTATATTCCCTTCTATGCAGTTTTGTGGAAGAAGTTATCATTTCTTTTTTAAATGAAGAGGAGCCATCTGGGCCTAGGGTTTTATGTGAGGGAAAGTTTACAGCTACAGTTTTTGTTTTTAAATAGGCTCCATGCTTGGGCACCTGGGTGGCTCAGTTGGTGAAGTGTCTGCCTTCGACTCAGATCATGATCTCAGGGTCTTGGGATGGAGTTCCATGTGGGGGGGTGTCTTTGCTCAGCTGGGAGTCTGATTTCTCCTTCTGCCCCTCTCCCTTCTCTTGTGTGCTCTCTCTCTCTGTTTCTCAAAAATAAATACATAGAATCTTTAAAAAAAAAAAAAAAAGAAAAGAAAAGAAATAGGCTCCACACCTAGCGTGGAGCCCAGCGTGGGGCTCAAAACCACAACTGTGAGACCAAGACCTGAGCTGAAACCATGAGTCAGACGCCACTGTCTGAGCCACCCAGTGCCCCTACAGTTTGTTTCTTCAAGTCGGGCTACTCAGGTTGTCCCATTTCTTCCTGAGGGAGTTTGGTTCCTTGGGTCTTACTAAGATTCAGTCCACTTCATCTCAAGTGTCAACTCCATTGCTTAGAATTGCTCATAATGCTATGTGTATTCACCCTCTGTGGGATCTGTAGCTATGTCACATCACTCATTAACTGTTACTGGTAATTCATCTCATCTCCCACCCGTCCCCCGCCCCCCTTGAATCTGTGTAGAGGTTTGTCAATTTTGTTGATTGTTGGACAGAACCAGTAATTGGTTTCATTGTTTTTCCTCCTTCCTGTTTCCTTGGTTTTCTTCTGATCTTTATAATCTTTCTCTTCATTACTTGGGGTTTAATTTTTCTTTCTAGTGTCTTACAGTGGAAACTGAACTCATTGATGAGAGGCAGTCTTTTTCTGAAGTAGCCATTTATTTCCATAAATCTTCAAAGTACTCTTTTAGCACAGTTTCACAAATTCTGGTACATTGTGGGTGTGGTGGTGTTTCTGTGTTCTTTTTTTTTTTTTTAAATTCAGTTCAAAATTATCTCTGATTCTTTTTTTATTATTATTTTTTCTTTGGTCCATGGGTAACTTAGAAATCTGGTATTTAGTTTCCAAATATTTGGAGATTTCTGGGGGAATTTTTTATTGGTTTCTAATTTAATCTCCTTATAGTCATGAGACATAATT